TTAAATGAAATTTAAATGTTTACATTTTTGGAATATTTTCATAAAGCTCCAATGTGAAATCAAATACATATAGAGATATGAAACCTATAATCACAACAATACATAAGGAAAATACATGAAACTACAACTTGTGAAATAATTTAAGACTTAATTAAACTTAACTCATTATCATAAACTGTTATTTCATCCTTCTTATTTATATAAAAACAGAAGTATGGTAGGAGTAAAATATGTTAGTTCTCAAAAGTCAGTTTTTTTAAATTTCATGACACATTAATTATTTTGTATTTGATATGTTCATTATTTCCCTACTTGTGACAGTTGTGCCACCTACAATCACTTTCCCTACATCTTAAACTACCATGCTCAATAACTGCTGTCGCAACTAGCCAGTAAGCTAATGTTAGCTACAGTACAGTTAAGCATCTGTAATGTCAAAGTAATCCTGAATCAAATATCTACCTGCCTATGCTACTGCATAAACACAGTACAAAAACATAGAAACTCATATCTGTTGTTGCTTAAGCTAACAGGCGATAGCAAACGATGCTAACAGACTATTCTCTTTGTTGCTAAGTGATAAGCTCACAGCTATGCATGTAGCATTAGTAGCTATTATCTATATGGCTTGTTAGATACGTTGTTTAGTTTCTAAATACTTTAGTTATTTAGTTTACGTTTAGTTACTTCGTTTTGTGTCTGGTTTTATTTATAGAAGCAGCCTTTCAGCTAGTTAATTCAGATCAATGTTAGCATATGTTGTTTCTCTAGCTAACAGAAGCTAACAGGCAAAATCTTTTAGGATTTGTTGAGCTTGTTTTGGGAAAAGTTGAAAAGGTGACGTCTGTTTAAAACACAGTCTTAAAAAGTTATTAAATTAAATATGGCAATATAAAATAGAAGTTGACATAGGCCTATACCATAATGAAAAGAAAAACAGAACTTGGAAATATAGCATTTTGCAAAAAATTCAATAAAATGTTTTTTTAAATAAATCCAGTTATTATTGAAATTGAATTATAAAATAAAATGTTAATAATTTCTTTAACTTTTGGTTCATTTATATAATAAAAATGTATTAATGTGATTATTACATTTCATAATGTCTATTTACAGATAATGAACTCTTTATTTCACTACATGAAGCTGACATTTTTAAAGGAAGGCTCCAGTCATTAGATAGTTAATAAAAACTTCAGTATTTAGTGAAACATTATGTTTAAACCATACCCTGAAGAAATCAGCGATATTCCCCGGTAAATAATGATTTTATAGCTCTTTTTTTTTTAATCAAAACCTGTATATTCCGTCAGGCAGCTGCCATTTTCAGTAGTCACATGATCCGAAAAACTAGGTCGTGACGTCATCTATGCGTTCACTTTGTAAACAAACGAACATTACATTACATGTCACTTGTTAGACGCTTTTATCCAAAGCGACTTACATACTCAATACTGTGGGCAATCCCCACAGGAGCATTTGGGGTGAAGTGTCTTGCCCAGTGACACAACGACATGCTGACTGCAGTGGGGTTTGAACCTGTGACCTCCTGATCCGAATACCAACTCACAACCCACTGCACCACACGCCTCCCAAACAGCTCATTCGACGAAAACATGGTGGAGTATTTGAGTTCGGACTCGTCAGCCGAGGAAGAAGTTTAGAAAAATAAAGTCCAGGCGGACTTACTTTGAATTATCACTATAGGTATTCATTCCATCCAAATACAACTGTAAAAAAAATAAAAAACATACTCTGTTATCCTCTTAGGCCCCACGGACCCGGTTCCGGGGCCGAAATCGCGTCATTTGCAGGAAACAACGTCTAAGGAACCTTAATATTTAATAAACTATGAATATTTTATATCCATATAACGGGGAAAAAAACTAATTTAACTGATCTTTTTCATTTTTTTCTTCAAAAAAAACACACAATGCTAACAGTGAGCCTCTGAATTAGCCCCGAGCGAAAAATGCTAACCTATTACTGCACCGAAAATCACTCCTAGCTCCCTTATTACTTATCCTAGCTGCACATCCAACACATCGTTTATGACCGTAAAGACACAGAATCTAACGGTGCCCACCTCAACACTGAAAGATACAAACTCGCGACGTTATCAACAAAAACGTACATCAAAACAAGTGGCGCTAGGTACTAACATGCGCTAGGCTAACATGGCTTACCTTCGTCTTTGCCTGGTCTAAACTGGTCTTCAATGGCATTACAACGATAAAAACGATGATGTAGTTAATCCATAGATTAATATCCAATGGGGCTGTGTCCCCTTTGAAATGTTCTGATAATCTATAAGCAATAAAACTGCAATTCCGTTATCTGCTGTCCGCTCTGTGCTCCGTGCGCTCTGGGTCCTGCAATTCCTTACGTAGTAAACAATAAGTAAAGTCTGCTGCGTAATGTGCTTACGCTGGCTGGCTGGCATTGGCAGTGCACTGCATCCCCATTAAGTAATGGTTGATTAATAAATCCCATTTTATGTTTCATCATACTCTCGGAGTAGTCGTCCGGAAACTTGAAATGTTCGCTGCATACATGCGCCTGTGGATCTTTCGGTTCGGGCCGAGCACATTTCGCTAGCCACTGCCTCCGAACGTACTTCCTACGCTTACCCGTTGGCAATAGATGGAACCGAGCATTCCGTGGATTGTTCCTATCCGAATTGTGGGCAATGTTTCGCGATACAATGAGGCATATTTCAATAGAATTGTGAGAGTAACTAGAGTAAACAACATGAACAAAGCACATACGTCAATTTGTCCTCGACACCAAACGCATAGTTCACGTCACTTCCGGTAAAATAAGTCATGTGACTCGTCAAAATGGCGCCGCCCACAGGGTTGATGTAATTTCGGTAATTAATCAGTTTAAAATGATAACCTCATCGGATTAAAAAAAAAAAAAAAAAAGACTAGCAGAGACTGGTCTGTTTTATCGGATGATGATTATTTAAAAATGCGTGTCATGAGCATTTCCTCCCTTTAATTATCTTATTTATTATAAGTTAATACATTTTTTTTCAGATTGTTTCAGATTTTTAGAATTGCATTGTTGTTGTTTACATACATATAGGTATGTATATATCCATATATAAGCTGCTTTTACCAGGAGTAGCCCAAAGACTGACAAAGCAGAGCAATTTAACATGAATGGTTGTCAGTAAAGTATTTTGTTATTCCTAATGCTTCCCTAAGATGTAACTCTAACTGTAACATCTGCAAACACTTTAATCTTGGGCGCACCTTTATTTTGAATGTTGCCTCAGACCTGTTTTACATTTCTTCTAGGAACAAGGAAGCGTAGCCTATTTTACGGTAAAAACCCATTTCAAGTTCATTCAGTTTGTTTGTGGGGCCGTTCATTGGTCCAATCCAGAGCCCTAGGGAGATAATCTCTCTAGGGCTCTGGTCCAATCTTACTGCTCTATTAATAGTTGTAGAAGGTACTTGTTTGTTGTAACTTGGTTTCTATATAAAGATTTTTCAACTCCTCCCTGTTGTTTTTGGACAAGTAAAGCACTCTCAGTGATGATGCAAACGCTATAGTGTTGTTGTTGGATTATCTCACAGTGAAGGACTTCTTGTATTTGCCAAGTAAAGACAACAATAACCTGCTGACAGTCAAATCTTTGTCCAAGTCTTAGCATTGGGTGTCAATCAGAATGAGGTTCAAGCTAGGCATGTCCCCCAAATAACTCATGCAGCAATAATGAAGCAACAATAAGGTCTCCAAAATGTTGGAAATGGACCTCAGCTCCTATAATATTTCTATAGTAAATACAAATAAACGAAAACAGACACTCAGAGCCTTAATTTGCCCATTGAACCAACAAACATACACACAATGATTTAATGTAAAGCATAGACATCTAGGGCCTAGTGACCTATATGTGACCTATGTATAAAATCAAAGCACTTCCATAGTATTTACATCCTATACATCTGTATGCTCTTGCATCGCAGGATTTTAACTTTGGTAGTCCAAGTTTTGCGGATAATAATTGCCTATGTTTGCCTAGGTCAACTGTGAACCCAAAACACATATTTGAAAGGCTTTCAAATACTTGGATTGGGAGGGAAAGAGAAAAAGCCTTTTTTGCTGAAACTTTCTGAGGCTCTTAACACACATGGGGTATGTATTAAAGACGTTAAAAGTGCATTTTGCATAATAGGGAACCTTTAAATGATTTTGTTGTTCAATTAAGATCACATCACATATGTCGTTTCTCGAGTCACTCTTGTTATTTGTCTCTATTTTGAACTATGTTTCTGTTGATACAATTACATGTCCATCTTTTAAGCTTAATGTTTTGAGGAGTAGTCCAATAATATTTGACCAGCTTGTATGAAATAAACACATTTGATAAAAACAACAATAATGGAATTGAACGTGTACAATGAGACAAATATAAAAACACTGAGAAGTATAAATACATACATCTTCTATTTCATACCATGGGTTATTTTATTTAAGAAATGTCATACAGTAATGAATATATACTGTATATGTTTACACAGTGATTCAACCCAACAAGATTTAATTTATATATACTTTAAATAAACCCTGATAAACACATTTGAATACTTGAACAGCTCTTATGAAATCACCACATTTTTGAAAAACAACAAAAACAAAACAATGTAATTGAACCCAAAAGTAGAAACACCAAGAACAATCTGCACAAACATCTTCTATTGTTGTTGTATTTATTAAATTCAAAGTTGTTTAAATCACAAATAGAACAGATACCGGTACTTTAGTAACCAACATGTCATACAGTAATGAATATATACTGTATACGTTTACACAGTGAGGCACACACATCATACATTTAATTAACATTTTATTATAAAATCAAGTCTAAACACAACTAAAAAACACTAAATATGAAAAAGGGAAATGAGGGAGAGGGTGAGGAAGAAAGAGGTGAGGGAAATGGAGGAGGGAGGTAAAGTAAACAAAGGATGGAGTAAGGGGAGAGAGGGTGAGGTAGCAGGAAGTACAGTAAAAGGGGGAGGGACTTAATAGTGAGTTTTTTTACATCTATTATACAGATTGTGGGAAAACCTGAGCTCCAGGAGAAAACCCTGAGTATGAAAAGGGGAAGGCAGTAAGGGGTGAGGTAGGAGGAAGGAGGTGAGGGGAAAGGGAGGAGGGAAAGAGGAGAGGAAAAGACAGCTACTGACGTCCAGCCTCCTCCTTCTCCTCTTTCTCCCCCTTTGCTTCCTTTCTCATCTCCTTCTCTTGCATCTTGCGCAGCATCTTCTGCAAAATGGCATCCCTTTCCTCAGTCGCCCTCTTGCGAGCGAAGAATCCTCTGCTCTTACTCTTCATGTGAAGACACAGGTCCTCCAGAAGTGCCTTCTCGTCCTCCATCTTCTTCTCTTTAGCCTCCCAGCTCAGTCGCGTCTGAGCGAGGTCGTCCTTCTCCTCCTTCGCCTCCTTCAGTTGCGTCTGAGCGAGGTCGTCCTTCTCCTCCTTCGCCTCCTTCAGTTGAGTCTCCATCAGATGAACCGTGGTCTCCCAGCGCTGGTGTTTCTGGGTCAGGTCTTTGGAGCACTTCTCCTTCTGCTCCTTCATCTCCTCCTCAAGCTGCTGGACTCTTGTCTCCCAGCTCAGTTGTTTTTCGGCCAGGTCTTTGGAGAACTTGTCCTCCTTCTCTCTCATCTGGTCTTTCAGCTGCTTGACATCCGTCTCCCAGCTTTTTTTGATCTTGGCCAAATGGTTCTTCTGCTTCTGCACCCGTTTGCATTTATCCTCCACCTGTTTTAACTGAGTCTCCCAGCTCAGGTGTTTTTCAGAGAACTGTTCCTCCTGCTCCTCCAGGACGTTCTCCAGCTGCTGGACTCTCATGTCCTTCTGTTTGACATTGCTCTGGTTTTCCTTACTCAGGTTCCTCATGGATTCCTTGGCCTGTTCTAATTGTGCCTGAACCACTTTCAATTCATTCTCCCCGATCAGGTGTTTGTGAACCAGGTTGTCACTTTTCTTCTCTTCCTCTTGTAATATGATCTCCATCAGATGAACCGTGGTTTCGCAGCTCAAGTGTTCTTCGGCCAGATCTTTGGAGAACTTGTCCTCCTTCTCTCTCATCTGGTCTTTCAGCTGCTTGACATCCGTCTCCCAGCTTTTGTTGATCTTTGCCAGATTATCGTTCTCCTCCTCCACCTGTTTCAATTTGGCCTTCACCTGTTTGAGCTCAGTCACGCAGCTCAGGTTCTTCTTAGCCAGGTCGTGCTCTTCCTGAGACACTTCTTTTAGTTTGGTCTCCATCGGTTGTTGGTCTTCAGAGATCTTTCCTCCCTACTTTTCCAACTGGAGCACCAGCTTGTGGACTTCCTTCTCCATGGCTTTGATCTTACAGGTCTGGTAAGTGTTGTGCTTCATCACCTGTTTCAGTTTCATCTCCATCTTTTGTTTTTCACTCTCCAAGGTGTGGTTTCTAGCGGCCTGGTAGTTTTTCTCGTCCACTACATACTTCATGCCTTGTTTCTCACTCTCCCAGCCCTGTTGTTTCTCGGCCAGGTCCTTGGTGGACTTGTCCTGGCTCTGAAGGAGTTCTTCCTCTCTTCTCTTCAGCAGGTGTATGGTCACCAGGTTCTCCTGCAGCTGCTGCTTGTGTCGAGCCTCTTTAGTTTCCATCTCCTCCTCCCAGACTGTCACACACTCAAGGAGTTCATCTCCTCTCATCACCAGCAGTTTAACGGTCTCTGCGTCAAACTGCAGGAGACTCTCATCGTCCTGGCTGTCGGATGTCTCCTTGATGCTCTGGTCTGACTTTGTTCTATCCATGGCGCTGTCTGTGGACTTGTGTTGTGCGTAGGAATACAGATCTGTGTGTCTGTGTAATACGTGTTTTGTCTAGAAAAGTGTAACGTGTTTTTGCTCTGACTGAATTTTAGATATTTAATAATGGATCAATCATTTATTTATTAATGACGCATTAACCATTAGTTACAAACCCTTTATAAAAGCTTATTCAGTAGAAAATGGTGCCGTCTACTGCTGAAACTGTGCTCCAGAAATAGGAAATACTGTGTAAAGCTAGTTGTGTAGTGGAATATATTGCAGGTTTGCACTTTAAAACTTTAAAACGCAAGTGCAAAAATAAAATAAATGAACCCTACAGACATCTGGTACACTTTTCTTCCTTGCAGCAGTATACTGTTTGCACAATGCAGTCCATTATAGACAGAGTCTGACACGTTGTGGACAGAAAATGTAATTACACAAGAACAGAACTACCTCAAAACTCACCGTGACGTAGAAATACCTTGTACTTTATTTTAAAATTGATCACCACACAACATACATAGAAATAATGCATAACTCCTGTTGCTATTTTACAAGCTGCATCATGGCAACAACATTACAAGAGTGTTTCCTGTGTCCTACATGCCAGCCGTTGTTTCATTATCACAGTATCATGTGATTCCTCATCACCTGGCCATGTGATACAGGTACAGTAGTGACTGATGATATTTAAAATATTTTTTGATAAAGTAGGCAGCATGTGAAGCTTTTTATTTTTTTACAAAGTTGAGTGATCTTAGGAAATAGATCATTCAGGTGCGGCATCTATTAGATAGATTTAAATGTAGTAAAAATAGATTTGTTATGTAATTCAGTCGTTCTGATTTCACAATAGCTGATATCTTTAATAACGAGGCATTTTTAGCAAAATAAAAGCATAGCCCTTCATTCCTCGCAGTAAAGGAAGTAGAAATGCTCCAGTGATTAGACCGATCCTTTTCCATTTGCAGTTAGTCCTCCCTGGATTTTATTCTGCAGTAAAGGATCATAGCAACAGCCATGGCACATATCTGCGGAGAATACATATATTAGTTAAACACGCACATAAAAGTTAAAAGAAAGGAAATGTGGAATAAATTATGTTGTATAGCTTGTTTTTCAAGCTATAAGCTAAGCTATAAGAAATGTGTTTGTAATATCTGATCATTAGACGGCGTATTAAGGTCATTGTAAGTTTGAAATATTAATAATATTGGAGCAGGAGAGGGGCTACATTGTCAAGAATATATTTTTTTTAAAACTCTGAACAAGAATTATTGGAAAACAAATGTTTTGTTTGTTTTTCAAAGAACTTCATTGTCTCACTTTGCAAAGTACATCACCTTGATGTAAATAATGCCTGCAGTGGATGATGTAATCAAATTAAACGTTGCAATCAGTGGGGAAACACAGTCTCAGAATTGCCATAAGCATCTCGGCTGGAATTCTTATTTTTTCAAAAGAAAACATAATGCTAATTTGGTTTAGGTGATATTTGAAGTTTCATCAGGAACTATAACACAATGGAAAGATGCACATCTGCACATTTCCATTCTGTCGCATCTCCCTACAAACGTGTGTAGCTTTCCTTTCGCGATTTGAGTTATTAACAACAAAAAGACTCAATTGTCCCTATATTTGTTTCCTTGTAAAATTTGACAAAGAATTTCTGAAACATTTCTTGCAAAAGTATGACTTTATGATATAATCACAGACAATATTCAAGTTGTTTTCTTATATAAATGAGCCGCTTTCATCTCAAAGAAAAGCCAAGGCTTTCTTCTTTTGAAGTTTTATTCTTTACCTACAATGGCCCTCATACGCCCTCATAGATACTAGACATGCAAGTAAGTATAATTAACAAGAATATGACTAATGTATGGCTCTCTTGTGCATCTCAGTCTAACTTAAAAGCAAAAACGGTCATACCTCCAGAGCTGCGATTCCCAGGGCGACTCCGACAATAACCGATGTGTTTTCGTCAATCAGCTGCTTGATCTTTGGAAAGCAGCCCGTGATCGTCTGAGGAAAATTAATAGTGTAGGTAAAAAAAAGGGTGGGATAAAACGTTATAAATTACAAAACAGTTTTGGATCATGCACATAGATGTTTTCGTTGTTCTTATAAAGCAGGGGTGTCCAAACTTTTTTCACTGTGGGCCACATACAGACAAATATACGAAGGGGTGGGCCACTCACTAGAGGTATATCGCCTCATAAGTTCAGTTATAAGTTAGAAAAGTCAATCAAATGTAAATTATGTTTGATACTTGAAAATGCTTTACAGAGCCTACACCCCAGCTCTCCATAGGGTTTCATTTATTACGTTAGCAGCTCATTCCTTAAAACAGAAGCTTCAGATTGCTTATAAAAAGAGGAAATATGAAGGATAGATTTCAAGCTTGTTATGTAATTAAGTTATTGGGCTTTTTTTTTTTTTAAACTATGATTTGTTTGAAAATGTTTCCAACTTTAATTTGCTAAATGTATTTGAAAAGTGGGCTTATTAACACATGCATACTGTCTAATAACTGTTTACTTTATTATCTTGAAAAAATAAACAGTTTTTAAATGCCATTTTATTAATGTCTTTCATTTTTGTAAAGCACTTTGAATTGCCTTGTGTTGAAAGGGGCTATATAAATAAACTTGCCTTGCCTAATATACTTTTACATATACATTTTTGAAGTACAATATCAGCAATCAGCTGACATATCACAAGCACAAGTTTCATTTGTGGCCCATATTTCATTATACTTTTGGAATTAGCTGAGGGCCGTTTCAAAATGGGCCACACCGTATAGTTTGGACACCCTTGTTCTTCTAAAGCAGTGATTCTCAAGTGGGGGTACACGGAGCCCTAGGGGTACGTTGGGGTACTGCAGGGGGTATGTGTGATAAAAAGAATACCATGCATGATTACAAAAATAGTAATCTTAGTACAATAAATTAAATAGAAAACACAACTTTATATAAAATATTCACAGAACCATCAAGGGGGTTCTCATATAAACATGTCAAATGTGTGTATTGTATTTTAAAGTTTTTGCATAATATATCATTTTGTTCATTGGTTTGTTAAACATATATTACTTCAATTGAAAAACTCCTTGGAAAAATCTGTTGTTATGTTCGATGAACATATCCTTAGTTTGATGTAATTCATGCATGACGGAGTTAATCAATCACACACTGAGGGAAAATCACTATATTGTAATTATTTAAATAGGCTTTTTCTATCAAAAATGTCGGGGTCGGTCAGGGGGTACTTGGCTGAGAAAATGTTTCAAAGGGGGTACATTACTGAAAACATATGAGAAGCACTGCCCTAGAGCACATACCGTGTCACTGTCTGCTACCGTTTGGTTACACGGACCAACAAGGCCTGGACAACACTGCGGTGGGAATAGCTGGCCATACTTGTCATAATACGGAGAGCCCACGAAGTCTGAGGAGTTGTAGAATCCACAGCATTGCAACTGATGTGAGCACAAAGAGAGTATACGTTACATAAAGCATCGGAGACATGGCGTGAAAAGACAGTTCGTTCAGCAGAATTACTCATACCGTGTTCATGGTAGAGTTCCACAGTCCTGTGACGTCAGAATCTTTCCCGTAGTCTTTACGGATGTTCTTAACTGCAGCTTCGCCAAACTTGGTGAACAACTCGTCTGCCTAAAATCGAGTGGGGTAAAGTAACCAAGTACATTTGCTCAAGTACTGTACTTAAGTATTATTGTTAACAGACCTGTACTTTTGGTGCTTCATACTTCTACTCCACTACATTAAGGCAAATTAAGTACTTTTTACTCCACTACAGGTAATATACACAGTTAGTTACTTTTCATATAAAAACACATGATACGGTACTTTAATGCTTATCAAGTGTCTTCACATTGACAAACTACGACATTAAAATGATATGACATGTATTGTATTTGTTACTAAAAACAAATGTAAATATCTTATATAATATATATAATATCTTTAAAAATCTTATAATATATGACTCTGAAAAGAGAGAGTACTTTTACATTTGATGCTTTAAGTTCATAATATTCATGCTAGTACTTTGTATTATTCAGAAATGGTTTATTTTGCGGAATACGTACTCCAACTTTTTGTACTTGAAGTACATTTTGATGCTAATCCTTTTGTACATTTACTTAAGTACAATATTGAACTCAGGACTTTCATTTACAGACATAGCAACACAGTCTCATGGCATTTCGTGTTATAGTCACGAAATTAATCTATTGATTAGTGTTCACCAACACGATTTCGCCATTTTTTTCGGGTCACACAGAACGATTTTAAAAGCAATGTAAATAATAACAAATTAGAAGGAAAAACAGATTTGAAAGAAATACAGATTTCAGTATTCTGACACAGAACGATTTTAGAAGCAATGTATTTCTATTGGTAGTATGTTTCGTGCCTGCACCAAATAATAACAAATTAGAAGGAAAAGAAGATTTAAAA